TATTTTGATGTATTTACTATCAACTTGTTTTCCGCAATCCATTCTGAAAATTTTACTAAAATTGTGGTTTATCTTCGAGTTGTTCCGGTGACTCTCCGCTTATAGTGATAGTTGTGTCATCTGCGTATTGTACTACTCCGATGTCCTCATCAATCTAGCCCCGCCGCTCATATAATTTATAAACAGCAGGAATAAGAGGGGTAATGGTATACATCCCTGAGGAACCCCCAAGTCTACTTCCAAGGTATCTGGTGTGGCATCACTCACTCTTACTTTTATTTTTCAGTTCGATACAAAAGATTTTATCCATGCATCTACTATTGAAGTAAATCCCCTACGTCTAAGCTTTTCAATTAGAAGGTTATGACTAATGCAATCAAGAGCTCGACTTAGGTCGATATTAGGCAATTTTTACTCATCTTTCATGTCCCCGTAAATTTATCCTTAAAATTTATAAATATCTCCAACAGTCGGGTGTCGATCCATGCGACGTGGTCTGCCGATGGACAAGCGTCGACGTCGGTGCTCGACGGGCGCTCTGGGAATGATGAAGACCGATATCGTCGTTCACGCGGGATTGGTCATCGCAACGATCATGTGGGCCTGCAAGTATTCCTGTCAGGGGAAGGAGGAAGGCCATTTACATTTTTGTTGTACATGTCCGTACCTAATTTTTTTCTACAGGGTAAACTTAATTGACGCCATTTTTCACATATTTTTTTAATAACGAAGCAGCCACGCAGGTACAAGACTAAATGTCGGGACACCGCGGCTGCTATGAGGATCCCAAAGGAATTTTGTTAATCCGATTTTTGAACCGACTAAGGTCAATAGAAGTTGGAAAGGTCTCCTCTTGTAGATTGTTCCACAAACTTGATACTCTCAGGAGAAAGAATCCGTCGTATCGAACAGTTGTGGGTGTACGAAGTTTGAAGTATCGTGCAGTGATAACCTCCAGGTCTCTTGTCAGAGAGGAAGTCACTGCTAGTCTGCTTTTTTACAGCTCACCTGCAGAGATCGGCTTGTCGCTCTGAATTCCTGCATGTAGAGTGCTGTCATCAGCAAAGCTCTGGACTGAGTTGATCGTACAGGGAAGGAGGTCATTGATATCTAAGATGAACCATGTCGGAGCCAAGACCGATCCCTGGGGAAGACCCACGTTGACGTTGTGGGATGAAGAGGAGAACCTATCGATTAGTCAGTCACCATCTGCAGAGCGTCTCTGGGAGGCCATAGGATTGAAGTTTGCATAAGAGAACAGCATGTTACAGCTGATCGAACGCTTTCGTGATATTGAGGGCAACGGCATGAACCTCACCATAAGACAGGATGAGTTTACAATTGCGTGACGTGAGCTAGGAGGTCCCCTGTGGATCGCTGGTACCAGAAACCATACTGCTTGCCGCTAATCAAGCCATGTAGTTATAAGTGTATGTCTTAGATCCTTTTTTTGGCATGGGTTGGACTTGGGCAAACTTCCAGTTTTCTGGGAAGGTGCCAGATTCGTAAGACATCTGGAAGAGACGCGAAAGAATCGGGGCAAGCTCCGCTGCACACCTCTTCACTACAACGACAGAAATCAAGCAGAACCAAAAGCCTTCTTGATGTCGAGGGACAAGAGCACCCACCTTACGTTCTTATGACTGTGCGAATAGTGTAGGAACCCTTTGAATCGACGGTACTGGAGCGTTGGGGGATAGTCCATGGTAGAGTTGAAAGCATAGATATTGACAAGCACTTCCGACTTAGCTTTTGAGTCAGTTACAATCGTTCCATCCTGACACGTGAGTTGAAGGTTACTCTGTGAGAAGTTTTCTTCAATCAGCTTGGAGCTGCGACATTACCATGTACCTAACTTTTATACCATGCTGGTCTTTGGCATTGCGAACCGCTTCGTTATTGTATTTGTTTCTGGACTCGACGTCTGCTTGTCTGTTCTCTAGAAAGGAGTTTTGTAAGAAGGTTCTGTGTGCCTTGATTTTCTGCTGGCGAGCAGTGTCGCATGATTTGTTGAAAAAGCCCTTGGACCCTGGTTTAGGCACTTTCATGGTTTGAGGGATGTATTCCTCCATCCCACGTGGATAATTTCGGTTATTGATGAACGGACAGCCGAGGCTCTGCTGCTACAGCGGGTTCTAACTTCCACTACAGCGTTGTCTGCATTACCCAGGGGAGACAGAACAGCAGTGCTGTACGGGACAGAGTGCATGATTAGAAAGAGATCCTGCAGGCTTTGGCATCTTACTAAACGCGGGGGAAAAAGTAGGGCTCGTCATCAGTGCTTGGGTAATAGCGAACACTTCAACTGCACGACCTGCTGCATCGGTCCTGTTTGAGCCCAACCAAAGCTCATTATGAGCATTGATATCACCTAGAAGAACTTTGCCTCTGAAGCGGGGCGATTGATGTTCGGGGATTGGATCTTGACAGCGAGGTCCTCAAATAGCTCATACCTACCAGTTATGGTCCGAGGCGGAGCCATAACGGCAGGAAATAAATTCTTTCTCAGATTGGAGTGCACCTCGGAATTTGTGAAGCAAAGATGATTCATCGTTGCAGACTCCAGATTCAATGTTGATGTTAATCCCGCAGATGTTTGTGAAACAAATATTATCATCGATGTTGTTCCCTCGTGTCCACCCTCCACCCGGACATTCTGAGAGTGAATTGAGTTTACGTCCGGAACCCTTAGTCCCTGAGGGATCCATCATCATAAATTTCTTTGTTTGGGAAGATAATCGACTGCGTAGCATGTGGAAACATGCGGATATTCATAAGACACCCTGGAAAAGCCAGCGAGTGGTACCACCTCGGTCGACTGGTCCTTGTCTACCACCTTCTTTTGGCATTTTAATGTTGTTAAATAGATATAAGGTGGCCTCTTGGAGGACTTGTACTGCCACCCGGCAAATCGGTACGGAGGTATTCCTTATCGCGTATTTCGTCACTTGGACGGGAATAAGTTGTATACTGAATACAGCAACTTCCAGAACAGGCATTTGCCACGGCCCCGCTCAGTAGGAGTGGGGGTTGCGAAATATGAATTGATGTTGTTATAACAATCTATATATTGTATTTGTTATTTATTTCTTGAACTAACACACCTTGGAGGGACAAGCGGACTATTTTTTATCACAGAAGAAACTACGTCCACAAAGGTATTATGACACGAATAGGAAAACCGCATCATGCAATCAAATGCTACAAAAGGAAACAATGGCAAGGCAGGTGCCACCCCCATTCATGTCAAAGAAATATCTACAGAGAGAATTTATACCGCGGAAAAGCTAAGTTCCGGCAGCGATGATTAAAATTATAATAGTGTCGTGCCCGGAAAGCATTTCTGAAAATGTTTCCCACACCGATACCGGATAAAGCACGAGTTTCTGCTAGGAAAATGTTATGCATAGCTGCCATCGTCTTATTTAGTGGATCTCTATAAGGATAGTCTGAAAAACTGGAAAGCATTGGCTTATAGGCTCATTTGAGCATTGGTCTCTCCCACAGTATAATTACTCGTATGTAACGTGTACCTCATATGAATTTAATTTGCTGTCCAGTGACCTCAACATCGTGATATAGCAATAGCAATCGGATTGTAGTCTTTCGATAGCGACTATTAGGGGTTCTGAAGAAGCTCGAGCATCCTTCTCATTTGATTTGTCATCATCACTCGGCGTAAGAAAAATGAAGATAGTAGGGGGAGTCCGGGAGAGTCTAGCAGGTGGGAGACAATAGCCGCTGCTCATAGAATATTTGTGGCACGAGATGTTACGACATTGCCACACTTCTCAGACGTCATAGGCACCTCCCACCCCGCTCACGTAGCGCCGTTACAATCGGCAGTTTGGTTTGGAAGTAAAAAGTGGCAACACGTTTTCGTACCTGGAAAGTGAGTTTATTCAGTTTTCGACATTTGATCTCTGTTCTTTACTGTGGATAGATTCCAGCACGCCACTTATATACACCGTAAGTGTAATTATTCTAGTCATATTTACGACAGCCAGCTTTTATTCAAGTGTCATAGCTTTTTTTTAAATTTAATAACTGGTAGTATGGCGTGGAGTGGGAGACATTACCCTGGCGTTGGGAGGAGACTTTACCCAGGGTAATCTCTCCCTCTCTGTCAGGATCGTTTCTCCCGCAATAAATTTTATTCATTTTATTTCAGAGAATGCCCTTCAACTATAGAAAAAACAAACAACTAGAAAGAGAAGCAATTTAGATCTGTCAGTAATAAAAATGCTTTAGGTGACATTGATCAAGGAAAGTCTATCCGAGGTGTTGCTTTGGAATATGGAATTGACAGAAATACCTTAAGAAATTATTTAAGAGACAGGTCTAAATTGACTAAAATAAGTGAACAAGGAAGCCAGTTTAAAACATCTATGATATTTACAATCGAAGAAGAGAAGGCGCTTGTTGAATATCTTATAGCTTGCAGCAAAATGAATTATGGATTAACCAGACAGGCGACTATGCAGCTAGCATATGAATATGCAACAATGAATTCCAAAAAGGTTCCAGATTGTTGGACTTCCAACAACTGCGCAGGAAAAGATTGGTTCCGGGGATTTATGACAAGAAACCCTGAACTAAGTTTGAGAACCCCAGAAGCCACCAGTTTATCCAGATCAACCAGCTTCAATAGAAAAAACGTTACTGATTTCTTCGAGAACCTCAAAGAAGATAGAGAAAAATACCAATTTGAAGCACATAACATCTATAACTGTGATGAAACAGGGTGTACGACTGTACAAGAGTGTCCCAAAGTAATAGCGAGCAAGCATATGCGTCAAGTAGGACAAGTTACTTCAGCTGAACGCGGCAGCCTTGTGACCGTTTGCTTCGCTGTGAACGCTCTGGGAAATGTTCTTCCTCCATTTTTCATTTTCCCTAGGGTTAGATACAACGAATGCTTTGTAGCTGGTGGGCCTCCAGGCTCACATGGTGACTCCTATCCTAGTGGATGGATGACAACCAAGAGTTTCGTAAAATTCATGGAGCATTTTGTGAAATATTCGAACGCATCTCTTAATAACCGAGTCCTGCTTATCCTCGACAACCACGAAAGTCATATCAGTGTTGAAGTCGTTAAATATGCAAAATCAAATGGAGTCACTTTGCTGACTATACCCCCCCACTGCAGCAGAAAGCTACAGCCATTAGATGTTTCCGTCTATTCATCTTTCAAGACTAGATATAATTCAGCCATGAATAACTGGATGATCAGTAAACCAGGACGAACTGTTACGATCTACAATATACCTGGATTTGTAAACACAATCATGTCGCAGGCTTTTAGTCTATCCAATATTTTGAGTGGATTTCGATCAACTGGGATACACCCCTATAACCCGGACATCTTTACAGATGACGACTTTTTATGCTCTGCGGTAACAGATAGAGAAATGACTAGTGAACTCCAAAAGCAAGATGTTTCTTCGATTACTTCACCCTCAGTCGCTGCAAAAGTACCATCAGATTCAACCACGGTCGCATTACCTTCAACATCTACTGTACGTCAGTCAGAGCCTTCAACATCAGCATCAGTATTCACGAATGAAACTGCAGCTCCTAGAATCAATTCACCATCAATTTGACTGCGGAAGAATCCGAGCAAGCAAATACAATACCAAGACGATCAGCAGAGATAGCTTCTACATCTAATGTTCTGGATATGACAACGGTAGATTCTGATTCCGGACACACACCAAAAATAGTTTTACCACAAACAATTCGACCATTTCCAAAAGCTACTTCTAGAAAAAGTCTTCGTCGTGGTAGACAGCCCGGAAAAACTAAAATTTTAACAAAAACGCCAGAAAAACTAGACCAAGATGATAAGTATGCACCGAAAAATAAGAAAATTAAAATAACTACGAAAAGGCAAACAGGCAAAGCAAAGAAAAAGACAGTAAAAAGACAAGTTTTACAGTCAAGTGACAGTGAGACAGACCTTGACGAAGAACCCAAGTATGATGATAGTTCTGATAGTCCCTGGGATGAAGTACCAGATGTTACTGATAATTGGTTTTGTTTCATCTGTGGGGAAGACAAAGTTATGGACATGAGACTTTGTGCCGTTTGTGGCAAATATGTCCATGAAATGTGTGTTGGACTATCCAAAGAAGATAAGGAGCAGTTTATTTGTCCCAATTGCTCCAATTAAAAAAAGTAAGACTGATGAAGGTTGTTATTATCTTTGCTCTTAACTTTGAGAGTTATTTTAATTTTTGTTTTACTGACAACATACAAGGTTTTTAAGTTTAAACTACTTATAAGGTTGACTTCCTGTTTCTGATGGAGAGTATGACTATTTTATAAGTAGATTTTGTTATCTTGTTATGTATTATTTTATTTTTGTTCTTAATTTTGAGAATAACTCTAATTTTTATTTTGCCGACAACGTACAAGATTCCATACCAAAAAATAATTTGTATTACCTACTTTTAAGCTTTAACTACTTATAAGGTTTGTTACCTAGTTATGTGAAAGATGGAGTAGGTTCAGGTAATACTATGTGCCATATTTTTTTAATTAAATTTATAGATTTACAATGTGTAATGATTATTTTGCCTAATCCTAAAGTGGAGGGTAAAGGCTCCCTACTCGAGGGGTCAAGTCTCCCACCCATGCGGGAGATATTAGCCGAATGTCACCTTGGCAGAAATCGTTGATAACTCGTAAACTCTTAATGCTACATTAAGCTTTCTTGAGAAAAAATGTAGCTAAATAATGCGTTCTAAGATATAATTTATCGGAAATGAAGATTTGTAAGCGTGTAAAGACTTAAAAGCATTTTAGTGGAAGGTGGGTATACTCTCCCGGACTCCCCCTATGCTATACAACTCCTTCTGTGTGTTTCTTCCGTACTTCCTGAAAGGAAGCTTGTCCACAACAAGACTATGTGAAGAATATATACTGAAATCTCATATTCCGGTTGACTGACGAGTTGTCCTTTTAATGATGTTGACCGACATATGTCCGCTCATAGTGTCAGCTGTCACTGGCTTAGGGCCAACTATTCGTAGCTAGCATTTGTCTCCTTTTAGTGCAGTACATACTGAGTTTTCTGTAGACCATGCTCGCCTGTTTGCTTTCCATTTGTCTGTCTCCAGGACTAGGCCTACATCTTACTGATGAATGCTAACAAACATCAAAGAAGGTTGTGTGCGGCCGGTCATGGATACACACACAACAGAAACAGCGAGAGAGAGAGAGATAGAGAGAGACATATTCGGTTTAGACAAAATAGCTATTTCTCGTAGTATTTTCAGCACATTCTTAGAGCTCCTACTCCGTTGTAGCCTGAAGGTCCTCTCAGCATCTCGAACAGGCTTTTTTTGGGAGTGAATGTGTCCCAGTAGGTATTTTGCTCTATCTCTTTTTGTGCTTACTTTAGACTTTAGACACATCGGGAAACTTTGCATCTGTACATGAAGTTCGTACGATAATTCCATTTCTATGATGGAAAGATCGACTCCTTTCCTGGTACATGCAGCTTACTCGTTACATTTGACACCATCAGATAATCATCATACGTTCAGATATTTAGCTTTCAAGTGCCACCACTGAGGTAGCATAGATACGGAAAGAGAATGCAGATAAACTAGTCATAAAGTCGGTATACTCATTACTTTCACTAGTGGTGTAGGTTATATGTACTATGCACTATAAAAATATTAATGAACCGCATTTACTATCATCACACGAAATTCAAACCTTCGCTAGTTACGTGGTGTGGAAAACTGCAGCAGTGGGATTCCACTGCCATGCCAATGCATTCAGAGAACCCGGTGTCTGTTAAATATGATTTTTCACGTGCTCAAGTTGTTACTTGAAAATTTTGTATATTACCCAAATATAATTTGACTTACACAATAAGTGTGAAGTGTCTAATTCAAGACATACAATGGCGCGTTAGTGATTGTTGGTTGTTGATTTTTCATGAAGTATATTCACGTATGCATTTGGGCGAGAAAACACCAAGGCACATGCGTAAGCGGCTGACGCGGCTAGTAATGATCTTGTACAGCCGAACTTTGTTGATCCACAACTTAATTTAGCATATGTTTGAGTTATCGAAACATCGTCTGCAAATTATTTTTTTTAATGCCTGATTGTGCATGTTTCCCATGATTATAACCAAATGTATTATTCTTTTTTCACTTTGGACTATCTATGACACGTTATATTTGCACAGAAGGTTTTGTTCATGCTTTCATAAAACTATAAGGTCAACTCATGCAGTTGTATTGTATCAGGAAGACTGATATTCCTCATTTGTCGTAACTATGTTACAGATTACAATCAAATAAGGATTATATGCAATTATTGATGAGCTGTTTAGGGCCAATTCCACCAACAACAGTTCGTTATTCTCCACCTATAGGGTAACAGACCGTCAAATACAACGAATGAGCTTCAAGTTCCAATCAACAAATTTTAGCAACCAATAGCTATGAAATGTTGAAAACAAAATACTGTATACAAGTATGAGATGACAGCGTGTCATTGAAACATCACCAGCTTATTGAATATTAAGAAATTACATATAATTCAGCCAAAATTTAAAGAAATGTTGGATTTTTTAATAAAATTCATGTTTTAATTACTATTGTTGATTTTTTATTCATGTTTATATTATTTGCTTCAATTGATATGCGATACTGGTTGTTTTTTCCTATAAACCTCTTGCAGGTAGCCATTAAGCACCTACTTGATGACAGGCTCTACCAAAAGATATTGCTCATTTCCAAACATTCATTCATTCACTTGCCGTTCATCAGAACCATTATGGCACCTTAGATTGATATTCCCACAAAACCATTCAGGTCTTTTGATATCCATACATCCATAAAGTTGAGTACATTTCGTTGTTTAGGAAGTGAACAAACATCCACACTATATTCACAGCGATTAAGAAATTCCCAAATATATGCCTTAAAGCTACCAGCAAACCTAAAACCTGCAAAAAAAACTACAAATTTGCCATATTTTTCTTTTTTCACGAGTACACATTCTAGGTTATATTTATATTAGACATTATTTGAATTCAGCTGATTATTGCATTTCAAGGAGTGAAACAAGTGTGGGATCTGTCAACTCTTGGTACCAGTCACAAAACATATACTCTGAAGGTTTAATTCCATGCTATTCAATGACAACACGGTGACTTGTGTGGTTGTCAGCGGCCATTTTGTGAGGGTTGCCAGATTGTGCATTCATATCCCGTTTGACCCCCTTGGTCACAGTGGAGTAAGCTCCGCGAACTGTTGAAATATACTCTATGCTTTATTAGAGTATTCGTGGAATTTTTCCCAAAATCGTTGCACAACACTTGGAAGTGCAAATGAAAATTTAACATTATTTCCATGACGCCGCAAAATAGCTCCGTCGGTACCTCGGGTTATACATCTTGAGAGTAAGGATGTTCGATAGGATCCTATATTTAGAAGTATCAATACATTTCACGAGTATCGTCATCTTTCGATCCCGACTGTGTCAGAAAGAGTGACTGCCATTTGGCTGCGACAATACCCTGCCAAATCAGACACCTTTCATCGTTTTCAAACAAATTGTACAAAATCTTCAAATTTGTGAAGTTAGCGAGTTTCACTTCATACGTTATTACCAGACGTGCCCAAATCATCAGTTGCTGCCGTGATATTCATCCCGACCACTGCATCCCCACGGCTAGGCGACTTGTATATTAAACTTGTATTGGTAGGGCAGCGGGTTATGCTATAAATCATATGTCACAGCTTTTGTGCACTGATTGCAGCGGTTAGATGATACCAAACATATTTTCATAAATAGGAGATCTTTCCCATTCCGGATCGAACAATCCACCAAAGATGCTTATAATCATGATACCTAGTAAATTTACATGAAAAATCCTCTGTATGTAGGTATATAAGAGATTTCTTATATTTATTCATCAATTTGATGATACAACACATCTGCTAAAAATGATCATAATCAGGATAGTAAACTGTGACGAAGGTCCACTGTATGTAAGAATTTTCAGATACTTCATTTGCAATTTGACAACAGACCATGACGGTGTTCACATTTTTTAAATATTCTTCAAGAAGTGTTATCAGTCTAGCTCCAACTATCATAAGTACTATGTTTGTATTCCTACTTTAAATTCAAAACTAGCAAATGTAAAAGATTCATGTCGCATCCATCATCACGGAACGTGATCGTCGTTAGACTTGGCAACCCTGCGAGTGACAGATAGATAACCCCACTAGTGAAAAAGGCATTCAAACAATAAACATTAATAGTTTTTATGATTTTTGGACTTAAAAGACATTATTTGTGAGACATTTTTCATAATTTTTTGTCTTTGTCCATAGTAATTGCATTATGCATCACGGAGATGTAGGGATTGACACATATTATCTGTGTTTTAGGATGGAGAGGACAATGCTTTTATTGCTTTGAAGAAATTCATTAACCCGTAAATTAATAAATGATTACTATTATGATGTAAAGGAAGATGAGGAATTGGATGCAATGTATTTTATATTCTATTTTCTTGCAAAATACAGACAAATCCACACTATTCAACAAGTATGTAACGATAACAGTATATTGAACTTAAATTCGAGATTTCCATGCATTAACAAACGTCCAAATCTGCTGTCAAATTTAACAGCTAGAAAATTGACCTTTTATTTGCCGCATTCCCATTGGCTTTTGGGGATAACTGATTGTTAAATGTAAATTTATAGCACAAATCAAAATACATGAAAGTTGACCTGTTTTCTCTATTCAAAAGCATCCTGTTGAAATCAAAAAGTGGTCTTGTTTATAATACAGTCGAATTTTCACGATTTTATTCAACATTTTAATAGAAATCACTGATATTCTGAGACCTTTGGCAGCTTCCGTCAAATTGCATTTCGATAAGGTATTTTCCTATTGGTCCACAATAATAATGTTGGTGAAGTCGGCCCTTAGGCCCGTATCGTCAGTCGTTCCTACAATTATAGGGCGCCTTTATGGCCTCCTTGATTGTCATAGTTTTCTACTTCTCCGTGTCAGAACTCTATTTTGAGGTTATGTCACAAACATCTATTTGCATCAAATTATGCTTGCTTTTGAGTTATATCATGTTTTATGAGCCTGTAATTTCCTACAATTTAAAAAGAAAACATA